AAAAAGAAAAAAAAAGAAAAAAAAAAAGAAAAGAAGAGAAGAAAGGGGCAGCCGTTGAAAACATTAAATTAACCCAACCGCCAGTATCATGGAAATGCGGAGTCGGCTTGAAAATGAATCACAAAATTAAAGACACCGAATTCAAACAATTTGAAAAATTAAAATAGAAAATAATAAATATTAGTTATAAACTAAAGAACAAAAAACATATTTTCTCCTTTTTTTAAACAAAAATCCTAAATCTATGCTAGCAAATGATATAAGAATAATGACCATAGTTGGATAATTTATATAAAGAAAAAATAACTAGTGGCTTTATTGCCTTGCTTAGGGTGAAATGATTAAAAAAAATATATCATGAGCCAAAAAGGACAGTGAATTGTGGAGAGCCACGTTCGCCAAATTCTTGAAGGGTCACAAAAATATAGAAGTATATCATAAATTTCAGTCACGTGTGAAACGAAATTACGTTCAAATGCGACCTTTTCAGAAACGCTTGAAACTTTAGTTCGTTTCCAATATTATTATCATTTATGTGGGATCTATTAATTGTATTATATTGTCTGCAAATTTACTTCCAAAACTGTTTGTACTCGTATAAATGTCACGGTTGATCTGCTCGATAAAATATGGAGAATTGTTTTCATGGCTATTCATTTAAGTTGTTTCCGCTGTTGGTATTCCTGAATTGATGTTGATATTTGTTTGTGATTCTGTAGCATCAGTTCATAATGTTCAAAGTCGATTGATCCTTGCCAAAAAACCATCCGGATTCACTCGCTCAAAATGAGTTCTCAGTTAGGGGTTGTAAACAGCTGACAGTTTAAACATTTCTGATAGTGTCAGTATTTCTGTGTTACGGTTACGAGAAACACGGAAATCGAGTCCTTTTAACATAGATTATTTTCCCTTTGTTTCACAGTGAAACGTGTGCAATTCGAATCGGCGTGTATGCAAGTTTGAAAGGAGTCTCATCTCTTCACATCATCAACTCCAGGCAAGCGTGCGTGCAATTGACGTCCAGTCCTTCGGCCATCGTTGATTGGCTCAGCCAATTGTGGAATTATCTGGCTTTATTACGCAAATGAAATCTGGTAGGCGGGAGTAGCCGCGTCGTTGAAATAGAGATCAAATGAGAATCTAAATCTGTGATTTGAGTCAGCAATAGAAATACATGTAACATTGACGAGCCTCTTTTTGGTATCGTATTTGAAATAGTGCTGTTATTTTTTTTCTCCTTTTAGACTTAAATATTCAAAATATATTCATTTGGTTTTGTACGATCAATAGATCAGGTGTGGTTTGGTTTGGTTTGGTTTGGTTTGGTTGGGTTCGGTTTGGTTTGGCTTGTTTTACGGCATATCAACCTCAATGGGTTATTTAACCCTCGAACACGAACCAACAATTAAAGTTACACCACTACTAACCATGGGTATATCATATCCGATTTAAAAAATATTTTTAAAAAAATTTAATATATGTCTTTATTTGAAATATTTTACATGCAAAGCACTTCAAACTTTGTACTTTGAGTTAACATTAATAGGAACTGAAAAACATTATTTAGTTAAGAAATTCAGGTACTGAAAATTGTAATTAAAAATAGGAAAATTTGCACTGGTTATATTATACCCATGGTTTGTGTTCTCGTGTTAAAGCCGACAAGATTTGTAGAATAGGTTCGTATAAATAGAATAAGTATTCTTTGGTTGGATTCATTTTCTTTTACGGCATATCACCCTCAATGGGTTATTTAATGCCGACAAGATTTTTAGAATAGGTTCGTATGAATAGAATATGTATTCTTTGGTTTGATTCATTTTCTTTTACGGCATATCAACCTCAATGAGTTATTTAATGCCGACAAGATTTTTAGAATAGGTTCGAATGAATAGAATATGTATTCTTTGGTTTGATTCATTTTCTTTTACGGCATATCAACCTCAATGGGTTATTTAATGCCGACAACATTTGTAGAATAGGTTCGTATGAATAGAATATATATTCTTTGGATTGATTCATTTTCTTTTACGGTATATCAACCCCAATGTGTTATTTAATGCCGAGAAGATTTTAGGATAGGTTCGAATGAACAGAATATGTAAAAATGACCAATATATTTTATATTTAAGTGACCAGCAATACATTTTATATTAAAATGACCAACGATACACTTTAAAGCAGAATATATTTGACAGCTAAATGAACTGCAATACATTTTATAATAAATTGACCAATCATACAGTTTATAGCAAAATACCCCACAATACATTTTATAGCAGAATGACCAACAATACATTATATCTGTAATTGAAGCCATAAAATTGTGTTCAAAATATTTAGATGTCGACATGAGAGGTTGATGTGACTCTAGATAATATCAAACAACGAACAAGAAAGAAATCTTTCATGATATTAATCCACAAAATGTACTACAATATCTTTAAAATCAAACTGTATTCCAAAATATAACAAAAATACAACATTAAACGCACATCACCGCCTCTAGTAATTATGCCCACACAAACCTGTATATGCAAAAAAGCTAAATATCACCTACCATGTAGTCAATTGTGGAAGCAGAATAACATCTTCATATGTTTATTACTTCAAAGGAAACATCGGCATTAAATGACCCAGAAGCAATCAATCAAAACTAGAAAGTTAGGAATGGTCAGCTTCAGCCCAAATATGACTACAATCTCCTTTCTTTTCTTTTTTTTTTTTTTTTTTTTTGGTGGAATCTGACTCTTGAAATGATAAAACATAGCAGGATTAATAGTGGCGACAATTTTCCTAGAAACTTTAACGATCTTATATATGGGGTCTGGAACGTACTAGAGTCCTAATGGACTTTAAAAGTAATTAGCTTCATTGTGTATGGAAACAATCATCCCGAAACATTACTAGCATTGATTTTGTGGTATTGATTGTATTTTTTATGGCTTATCAGCCCTTTGAAAGTTATTTAATGCCAGTAAATATTTTTTCGATTGTAAGAAATTTTCTTGGAAATAATAATAATTTACTGATACATGTCAAACTAATTTGACCCATGGCTGGGGTTGTGGAGAAGTTCCATAGACGTTATCTATTACACCACCCACACATCCAAACTTACAGGGCCTTGTAAGGTTTTTGTCAAAATATTTTCCAAAACAAATCAGCTTATTCAAATATCATCGATTCGTTTGCGAAATTGAACGAAACGTAAAGTTTGTAAATCGTGGAAAAGAAACTTTTAGTGAAAATTCCAACAATATTAAATACTGTGATGATTTCAACACGTGTAAGCGTGTTTGAAAAATAAAGTTTTGTACTTAAAAAATGACACCGTGCAGTATATATGCAACTTGCAGATTAGTCCATAGTTTATGACTATAACACCCACCAAAAAGAAAAAAAAAACAAGATGGCCACATCTCATGTAAGTTAGTTTTAAGGACGGACGGAATAACGGTCGTAATGGCAGCTATGAATCTGCTTTTAGCCGATTTTTATAGGCTATATACATGTCTTTCTTTCTTCAACGTTAATCGAGGAAATCTATTGTCTGTCTGTCAATTACACAAACCGATTTCGTCGTTCTTTCTCTGTCAATCCCTTAATCTTTGGATTATTTCAAATGGACAGAAACACAAGCCTTGACTCCCAAACAGTTACAAAGCACATCGACACATACGATTTCGTCTATAGGACATTCTCTTTCTCTATCTCTTTCTTTTCTTTCTTTCTTTTCTTTCTTTCTTTCTTTTCTTTCTTTTCTTTTCTTTCTTGTCTTTTCTTTCTTTTCTCTCTTTTCTTTCTTTTCTTTTCTTTCTTTCTTTCTTTCCTTTCTTTTCTTTCTTTCTTTTCTTTTCTTTCTTTCTTTCTTTCCTTTCTTTTCTTTCTTTCTTTTCTTTCTTTTCTTTTCTTTCTTTCCTTTCTTTTCTTTTTTTCTTTTCTTTTCTTTCTTTTCTTTCTTTCTTTTCTTTTCTTTCTTTTCTTTTCTTTCTTTCTTTTCTCTCTTTTCTTTCTTTTCTTTTCTTTCTTTCTTTTCTTTCTTTCTTTTCTCTCTTTTCTTTCTTTTCTTTTCTTTCTTTCTTTCTTTCTTTTCTTTCTTTCTTTCTTTCCTTTCTTTTCTTTTCTTTCTTTCTTTTCTTTCTTTTCTTTTCTTTCTTTCTTTCTTTTCTTTTCTTTCTTTCTTTGTTTTCTTTCTTTCTCTGTCCGTCTCTCTCTCTGACTTCTTACTCTTTCATCTTCTCGTTCCTAAGGTCATTCTATTCTTCCGCGATTCGATCTCTCAAACGTTAAACTTTCACAGTCTTTCTCCTCCATTACCGTCTTTCTAACCGCCCACCCTCCAACACATGACGTGACATGCGCCATCATCCGAATATCTTGCCTCCAGCAAAGCCAAGATTATTGCCGGTCAATCATTGTCTTTCTACTTTCGATTTTAACTTGGTAATATTTGGTCAAACGCTACCCAGGATCCATTGAGCGCCCCCCCCCCCCAACAAGACGAATGCATATGGATGCGTATAGAAAGACGCCTAAAATTTCATAAGATAATTTTATGGCTTTGTGAAAGGGTGAACCGTTTTTGTGGAATTTCTCACACACACAGAGAAAGCTAAAGAGAAGCCTAAATCTATGTATATATAGTTGTTTCTATGTACGCATGATAGGAGATAACAGTGTGCATATGTGTGGATGGAGGTGAAGAGGTTTGCAAGTGTGAAGATGATGAGTGTTTGTAAAATTTATTGAGAAGAAATTAATAAGGACTTATTTAATCGGCGATAGATAGATAGATAGATAGATAATTAGCAGAATGAGATAGATAATCAACAGAATGTAACAGATATATATATATATATATATATATATATAGAGAGAGAGAGAGAGGAGAAAGAGAGAGAAAGAGAGAGTGATAGATAGATAATTAGCAGAATGAGATAGATAATCAACAGAATGTAACAGATATATATATATATATATATATATATATATATATATATAGAGAGAGAGAGAGAGAGAGGAGGGAAAGAGAGAGTGATAGATAGATAATTAGCAGAATGAGATAGATAATCAAGAGAATGTAACAGATATATATATATATATATAGTGAGAGAGAGAAAAAGAGAGAGAGAGATAATTAGCAGAATGAGATAGATAATCAACAGAATGTAACAGATATATATATAGAGAGAGATAGATAGATAGATAGATAGATAGAGAGATAGATAATTTGCAGAATGGGATAGATAATTAACGGAATGTAACAGATATACATATAAACATATATATATAGATAGATAGATAGATAGATAGATAGATAGATAGATAGATAGATAGATCAAATTTGCAATGTTATATAGCTATGTGTATAGAGAAATGCGTTTCATTTGATTTCAAAGGCTGTACGTCCTTCAATCGATAGAGTAATCAGTAGAAAATCGAAGATAAACACGTTTTAACCCAGAGTATTAGGATAAAAAGTATCAATAATACGACGGAATAAAACTATCAGTAAAATAATAGTAATATTGATGAATGTATTGATAAGTGTATTTCAAAGTTAGATCGGAATGATATGCCTTTTTTGCATGTAGATGATGCTATTATATTAGTGTTGTCAACAAGTATGTTACGAATAGTATCCGGTAGGTCTCCATGAATATTTAAATGAGATCTAATTGAGCTATGATCAGAAAGGTGTAAAGTGAGTCTGCGTGTCAAACATGTTGTAATGTGGCCTATATAATTATTTACGAATTTTGATTGATCAGGAAATAAAATTAAATACATACATGCAACAAACTTTTTTTATTCAACAGTTAAAATATTTCATCCTTGACAATGGCTAAACGTTTAGTTGAAAGCGCTCGGATTAAAAGAACATTTTGAGTGTTGAGAGAGAGACCAGCAAAACATCTTGTAACATCAAAGATAAACTGAAGTCAAGTATTATGGCAGCATTCACCAACTTAAACAAGGAGAGAGTCCAGAAGATTTGCAGGTTATTATAGAGCCGTGGATGAAGCAAATGTCTATTTTATCGAATAAATTTACTCTTTAGTATTTTATGATATTTTTGTGTAATTTTGGTAAATATATCTGTTAAAATAAGATGTTAGCGCTATTTTCATTTTGGCGTAATTCAAACGACAATTTATCTAATTATTTTTAACCTTTTTTTTTTGCATATAGATGATGCTATTATATTAGTGTTGTCAACAAGTATGTTACGAATTGTGTCCGGTAGGTCTCCATGAATATTTAAATGAGATTTAATTAAGCTATGATCAGAAAGGTGTAAAGTGAGTCTGCGTGTCAAACATGGTGTAGTGTGGCCTATATAATTATTTACGAATTTTGATTGATCAGGAATACAATTCCTTAATGGGCATTTAAATTCTTAAATAACATTTGCCCTATTTAATTTTGTTCTAGGAGGTGAATTATTATTTTTAACTACAATTGTTATATTTTTAACTATATTGTTTCATGTTTCTATAGAAACATAAACAATAACATTAATATTTTTTATAAAAATCAGATGAACGAAAATTATAAACAGGATGAATACAGAATTAAGAACATTATAAAAATAATGGATAACACAAATTAACAATAGCAAAAAAAATAAAATAATTATTTATTACAAAACATTTAAAACCTATAATCTTATAGTTAAAAATAATAAAAAGGATAAAAACAATGGAAGCCTTATTAATAATAATAAAAAAAAACACTTAATAATATTAACTTAGAACAGGGACACAATATCTTGACCGTGTTTTGAAAAAATGAAAACATTTTATAACACATACATACAACAAACTATTTCTTACTTAACAGTTAGAATATTTCATCCTTGCAAATGGCTAAATGTATAGCCGAAAGCGCTCGGATAAAAAGAACATTAAGACAGTTTTTATATAATTTATCATCCGAAAAGAAAAAAAATTATTAGATCGCATGAGACATTGTATAAAAAAATAAATAAAAAAACCTTGTCTGTCGTATTCAATGATATATATATATATATATATATATATATATATATATATATATATATATATATAAAAAAAAAACAGACCACTTTTAAGGTTCCATGTAATAAATTATTTCACCACAGTCCTTTTAAAGGACTGCGGATCATCTGACTTTACTTCCAAAGGTTGAAACGAAAAATGAAAAAGAAATTTACATTTTTGACAGGCCGTATATATATATATATATATATATATATATATATATATATATATATATATATATATAAAACATAAATTTGCATATACCTACGTTCGAAGTGCAACTTAAAGTTTAGTTGTTCTACCAACTGACCAAGTGCAATTATTACTTTTGATTAAAAAAATCGTGCCTGATGAGTTGGTAGAACAAATTCCAAATTTTAAACTGCACTTTTGAATGTAGCTATATGCATATTTATTAATATATATATATATATATATATATATATATATGTGTGTGTGTGTGTGTGTGTGTGTGTATATATATATATATATATATATATTAAAATAGTGCAAAAATAATGACGTAATAATGTCGTTTTTGACGTATTTTAACGTCAAAAAAACGACATTCTTACGTCATTGTTTTTACACCAACCTTATATATGATATGTTTTTGTGTGTGTTCAACTACAATCTGCCTATTTCTTTCTTTCTGTTAATCAAAATCTGCTCATTTCTTTCTTTCTATCTTTCTTTATATCTATCTACCCCAATCTGTCAATATCTATCTATCTATCTATCTATCTATCTATCTATCTATCTATCTATCTATCTATCTATCTATCTATCTCATTCTGTTGATATGTTTCTATTTGTCTATCTATATATCTATCTATGTTAGCCTGTTCATATCTATCTATCTATCTATCTATCTATCTATCTATCTATCTATCTATCCCAGTCTTTTCATTAGCTATCGATCTAATTTGCCTATTATTTTTCTTAAAAGTAACTTTTTTTTTTATTTTCCATATCATTTAAACATTTCTTTGCTTTTATCCTCGCCAATCATCATGTCTCTTATTGTGTTCTTTCATTTTTTTCCTTTTCTTATCTTTCATTTCTTCTTTTCGTATGTATTTTATCTTTTCCTTCTTATTCTTCTTGCTTTGGACTTTTTCTTAAATTTTTCTTTCCTTTAACCTTTCAAATCTTTTCTTTTCTTTTCGTTATTTCCTCTTTTCTTTTATTGCTTCTTAGCTTTATTCTCGTTTTTATTTGATCATTTATTTAATGTATTCTCTTTCATTTTGTCTTTTTTTATCTTTCTTCATACGATCCTTTAGTTTTTATTCCTTTCTCGATTCTTTCTTTTGCTTTCTCTCTGCTTTTCTTTCTTTCCTTCTTTTTTTATCTTTCTTGTTACTTCTCTCTCTTTCTTTTGCATATTTTTTGTTCTTTCTTTTATTTTCTTTCTTATTTCTTTCCTTTCCTTTCTATTTCTTTGTTTAATATTTTTATTCTTTTTTCGTCATCCATTTTCTCTTGATTTCAAAAACTCTTTCAATTACTATTTTCCTTTTATCCGTTTTCTCTCTTTTATTTCTTTCTTTTTGTTTCCTTTTCCTTCATTTACTTTTCTTTCTTTTTTCTTTAAACTTTCATTCTTTTACATTTCATCTTTATCGCTAATATCTTTTCTTCCTTCATTTTTCTCGCTTTGTATTTACTTATTCTTTCTTTGTTTCTTTTTTATGTTTCATTCTTTCATTATTTATGCTTCTTTCTTTCTTTCTTTGTACTTCTTTCCTTCTTTCTTTCTTTCTTTCTTCCTCTCTTTCTTTCTTTCTTTCTTTCATCCTTTCTAATTTCTTTCGTTCTTTCTTTCTTTATATTTCTATTTATTTTTAGATTTCTTTCTTCCATTGTTATACTTCATTGTTTTATACTTCTTAGTTTCTTTTCATTCTTTATACTTCTTTCTTTCCTTCTTTTTCTTCCTTTCATTATTTATACTTCTTTCTTTCTGTTATTCTTTATACTACATTCTTTTCTTCTTTCTGTCTGTCTTTCTTTCATTGATTATACTTCTTTTTTTCTTTCTTTATCCTTCTTTCTTTTCTTTCTTTCTTTCAATATTCATACTCCTTTCTTTCATTCTTTCTTTATTTATACTACTTTCGTTTCTTCTTTTTCTTTTTCTTTCATTATACTTCTTTCTTTAATTCATTATACTTCTTTCTTTCCTTCTTTATCCTTTTCTTCTGTCTTTCTTCATTATTTATACTTCTTTCTTTCCTTCTTTCTTTCTTTATACTACTTTCTTTCATTCATTATACTTCTTTTTTCCTTCTTTAACCTTCTTTCATTTCTTCTTTCTTTCTTTCTCTAATTATGTATAGTTCTTTCTTTCCTTCTTTCTTTCTTTATACTACTTTCTTTCCTTCTTTCCTTCTTTCTTTCTCTCTTTCTTTCTTTCATTATACTTCTTTCTTTCTTTCATTCATTATACTTCCTTTTTTCCTTCTTTATCCTTCTTTCTTTCCTTCTTTCTTTCCTTCTTTATACTACTTTATTTTCTTCCCTCTCTCTTTCTTTCTTTCTTTCATTATACTTCTTATTATTTATTCATTATACTTCTTTCTTTCCTTCTTTATCCTTTTCTTCTTTCTTTCTTTCTTTCTTTCTTTCACTATTTATATTTCTTTCTTTACTTCTTTCTTTCTTTATACTACTTTCTTTTCTTCTTTCTTTCTTTATACTTCTTTCTTTCTTTCTTTCTTTCTTTCTTTCTAATTTCTTTCTTTTTTATACGTCTTTTTTCTAGCCTTCTTACTTACTTTCTTTCCTTCATTATACTTCTTTCTTTCCTTCTTTCTTTTTTTTCATTATTTATACTTCTTTCTTTCCTTCTTTCTTTCTTTATCCTTCTTTCTTTCTTTAACCTTCTTTCTTTCATTCTTTCTTTCTTCCTACTTTCTTTCTTTTATACACTTCTTTTTTTTTCTATCCTTCTTACTTACTTTCGTTCTTAATACTTCTTTCTTTACGAATCAAACGAAAGTCTCTTTCACTTTCTAATGGATCGCCTCCTTTCCGCCAGAAATAAAATTTGCCACAGGTCATTTAGTGTCCTAAGTGCTCCCGATTGACCTGATCTAAGTAACAAATCCGAACTCTGGATTCTGTTAACAAACCCTTAACCACCTGCTCTTGAAAGCCCAACATCTAACCGAGCCTCACATACATAACTCCCCCCCTCTAATCACACTGGGACATTTTCATTTTCTCTCCTTTCTAGCTACCGTAAACGATTCCCCATTGAACAAGACGATTTTACCTCTGTTTTTATTTTTTTGCTTGTTTCTCGGGGTTTCATCGTGATTTTCTAAAAATGTGAAACATCACTCTCTCTCTCTCACACACACACACACACACACACACACACACACACAGCACACAGCACACACGCACGCGCGCACTAAGAAAAAAAAACAAATAAGAGACATATAAATATACAGGGTGTCCTTTAATGATAAAACACATTTTAAATGTAAGTATCTTGGAGAATAAAATGACATAGAATACCAAATAATTTCATTACATAACTGATATACAAGAGTTCAAATTATTATGGGATTATGGAAAGGTTTTGTACTCCTTCACTTCCAGCAAACGCTAAAGTGTAAGAACGCTGGAACAAACTAAATACAGGGTAACCCGGATATAAGAGAGTTGCCGGGACCGGAGAAGTCTCTTATATCCGGGTTTCTCTTATATCCGGGTTTGGTCTAATTTATATACATTAACACAGGCTCTAATATGGGACCAGAGAAAATCTCTCTTATATCCGGGTTTCTCTTATATCCGGGTCTCTTATATCCAGGTTACACTGTATTTATGTAGTGTAACCCGGATATAAGAGAGTTGTCGGGACCATAGAAAAAGTCTCTTATATCCGGGTTTCTCTTATATCCGGGTCTCTTATATCTGGGTTACACTGCAAAAAAAAATATCATATTTTCCTTGCCCGTCATATTTAACGAAAGATTTTTAAAAGAAAGGTTGCTGCCCAAATATACATTAATTAAACTATATATATATATCTGTGTGTGTGTGTGTGTGTGTGCAGATATACTGATAAAATAAGCAAGAACCGTAAGTTCTTTACTATATTTGTTTTTATTTAAAAAAAACAGTGCTCGATACAAAAATAGAGCCTAGATTATAATTATTTTTTTTAAATGATTCCCTCGCTACACAGGAATTACCATGTTTCAAAAACAGAAGTTAAAAACTTCCAATTCAATTAAAGTACCTAGTTCTGTTTCATTTTCAAGCGAAAAATGGAACACTTGAAACCGAAACAGAAGTAGGTACTTTAATTTAATTTAATTTCTATAAATGAATTGGAAGTTTTTAGCTCCTATTTTTGAAACATGGTAATTCCTGTGTAGCGATGAATCATATTTAAAAAAGTATACTATATATATATATATATATATATATATATATATATATATATATATATATATATGAGTGAACATTGAAGACAACATTCAGAGGCGACAGACTGTTTCATGCTAAACGAAATAATCAGGCTTTTATATTTACATACGCTACATCTTTCTTATTGAGCACTTTATCCCGTAATTATAGCACAATTTAAAACTATATTTCTTCATTCAGACACACACACACACACACACACACACACACATACATATATATATATATATATATATATATATATATATGTGTGTGTGTGTGTGTGTGTGGTTGATTTAATTGTAAAGATTTGGAGAGATGGAGAAGTGGCGAAAGATTGGAGGGATGCAACAATGATACCTATATATAAGGTTAAAGGTTACGGGGAAATTCTATCATTTTGACAAGGGGTGGTAGGGTATTCATTTTCACTGACAACTATTGTATCAAAATATGAGTTACTTTCCAAATGATGTTAATTTAAGGTAGGGTAGGGGTGCCTGTTCAACAAATGTTGACATCCATTTTGCGTCCTTTGTCTGGTTTATTTCAATGACAAAATGTTTTATTTTGCTGTTAAATTTGTAATTGTATACACAAAGATTTGGATATGAGTTGCGTTGTATTAACAATTTTAAATCATTATTCTTAATTGTAATTACGAATAGACTATACATCTTTTAAAAAAAATAAGTATATTATAATTACTTTCTTATTTAAAAATTATTATTTAAAGATCAAGTATATATGTATGTTTCATTTTTTCATTTTTCTTCTTTTTCTTTTTTCATTTAATTATTACTTAAGGAAAACCTTTCACAGTGTCTGTAAGGAAAGAGCTATTTCATTTTTTGGATTAAGTAAATTTTTATTTTTCATAAATTTAATAATGTATAATTTCTCATGTATGCACAAAGGACATGGTCATTTAATGACGTACAAATTCTAGCTTTTCTTATTAATTTCCATTTTACAGTAGGTGTTTTATTGGTTTCTTTTAAGTACCAGAAATATTTAGATAGGGACGTCTGGTTTCGGTATTTACTTATTTTTTAAAAAACTGTTTATGTTCAGCGCAATTGAATTGAGCACTGTATTTTTTTAAATAAATATAATTAATAAGAACACCGGATTATAAATCTTACTCTTCTTTCTCACAATTTTAATAAATATATATATATATATATATATATATATATATATATATATATATACCCGATATGATGAGAACGAAAGTAATATATAAATTCCAACGTTCACCCCATTAATCGAAAAGAGGGTTCGATGCCGATAGTAGAGCGATAATTATTTATTTATTATAATTTTATCATAGAGACAAAACAATTTTACTCACTACAAAGTTGCAACTTGGTTTCGGTGCATTTCAACTGCACTTCGACGGGTGAGAATCGAAAATGGTTATGAAGAATCCTGCTTGTATTTTTCTTCTTAACCAAATAGAAAAAAAGAAGTGACGTTTCACATACGGCTTGCATACAAGCTGGATATATTTCGGCAGCATGTATTTATTAAGGCATGTGTTGCTAAAGTCTATGGAACTTCTAATTTCTAATTAGCAACCATTGGTACTTGACAACGATAATAAAATTACACACTTGTGTAAATTAATTAATATATTAATTCCGTTATTATTTATATTTTTCGTATTTTTCCAGTGAAATATGTGCACATGTTAGTACTTCGTATGTCGATTCCACGAGGTCGTTCCTTGCAGTTTGACCACAGATTCTCGATTGGATTTAAATCAGGAGAGTATACGGTCTAATCTATAGTAATTTGATTTGCTCACTGTTACAGCCTGCCAGTGTGTTCTTATATATATATATATATATATATATATATATATATATATATATATATATATATATAATGGATAGGTTAGTTAATAAAACAAGGACAAATGAAAGGGTACCAATAAAAGTAGTACTCAAAATATTTATTAAATATTAATTATTAACCATATGACAGAAATAGAGAAAGTTTTTAAGTTCGAATTTTCAGACATGTCTGTGTCCTTCACCAGCGGACTGAGAAATAGACAAGAGAAATGGAAATTACTCACCGACAGATGTTTTTGTAGATGGTGTATTTTCCAGTGGAAGTCGTATTCTTAGCAAAAACCTTTTCAGCTAAACAGCCCTACGAGACGTAAAACAAAAGAAACTTTTGATCTACAGAAGGATGCTGAGAATACCTTGGACTGAACATGTGGCAAACGACAAAATTTTACCGAAAATGGAAACATAAAAGTGACTTATATTAACACCAGAAACAGAGACTTGAAATTTCCATGAAATGAATGAGGAAAGCCGACTTAGAAAGTTTGACACTCACAGAACGTATTGAATGCAAGAGGGGAAGAGGCAAACAACGCACGGCATATCTAACGAGCTTGTGTAAATGGATAGCAGAACAGGACTTAGAAGACATAGCAAAAATACAAAATTTACTCAGTGCTACAAAGAATAAGAAAATGTGGAGACCCATGATCGCCCACATCCTGAATCAACACAGCATATAGAAGCAGAAAAGTAAGTTTCAGTAGATGGATGACAGAAAAAAAGTTTAGGAGAGATAGAAAAAAACAAAAATTACTAAGTGCTACAAAAAATAGGACATTGTGGAGAGCCATGATCGCCCACGTTCTGATGGGGCACGACACATAGAAGAAGCTTAAAAGCGAGCTTAAGTAAATGGATGACAGAACAGTGTTTAAGTAAGATAATAAAACATATAAGTGCCACCAAGACTAGGACATCGTGGAGAGCCATGGTCGCCCATGTCCAGAAGCGATTCGGCCCATAGAAGAAGAAATGCAACTTTGAATAAATAGATGACAAAACCAGGTTTAAGACAGATAGCAAAAATATAAAATTTAGTAAGTGCTAAGAATAGGACATTGTGGAGAGCCATGATCGCTCACGTCCTGAAGGGATACGGCCCATAGAAGAAGAAAAGTAAGTTTGAGTAAATGGATAACAAAACCAGGTTTAAGAGAGATAGCAAAAAGACAAAATTTACTAAGTGATACTAAGAATAGGACATCGTGGAGAGCCATGATCGCTCACGTCCTGACGGGATACGGCCCATAGAAGAAGAAAAGTAAGTTTGAGTATATGGACGACAGAATAGGATTTAGGGGAGAGAGAGCAAAAAGTTAAAATTTACTAAGCTCTACAAAAGTCAGGAAATTGTGGAGAGCCATGAGCTGCCGTGTCCTTTCTTTTTTTTTTCTCGTTTTTCCGTATTCTTTTCTTTGTTTTCGCTTTTAACCTTTGAACTTATTACGCCATTGTTTCTTCACCCGATGCCATTAACTTTCCCACACTTTTTCCCTCTTTCAAGTGTCTTCCTTCTTAAAAGTAAATGGATTCTCCGCCTGGGGCAGAATGCGCAGCTTATACGATTTAATCACAGTGAGTTTTCATGGGACGATGCATTATGTAAGCCATCTGGGAAATAGGTAATTTTATCGAGTCACTAACTTTAGAATGGTTGTCAGCCTAGACTATAGAGAATCCTGTCT